TCGGGTGGGGAGAATATAGGCTACCAACTAGTGGGTATCCATTGGATATAGTTCGCTACACAGTGTAACAAATTTGTGTTTGTCTACCATGTGTCTTGAATTTCTCTGACATTTGACTACTTAGTTCGCTTGTACTAATAATAAATTAGGTTGCCACCAGAAACATATTATATCAACAAAAGAAGTTTACTGCATGATGTAGCAAATTTGTACGTATAACATAATTACTATTCACATGGTATATATTGAAAAATAATTTTGAGGGACAGTGATATTATGGTCAATGTTGCTCCACCTTTCTTGTAGCCACTCTAAAGAAAAGGGTTCCTATCAGTTTTGCTAACCACATTATGCTCGATTTCACATGGACCACAATTATTTTGCGTATTTTTCTCTCACAGAAGCAGAGTGATTCTCAAAATTGAACAGAGTTAATGGGGAATCAGATCAGTTCTCGTTTGTCAAATACAATACCAAAAAAAATCAAGGAATTATATTGTTGCCGTGTCTACGGAAAACAAAGCAGTTTCTTTCATTTACGTGGATATTTTATGAAATGATTTCAGCCTAAAATAATTGGGTAATACTTTTCTTACGTTACATGACAAAAGTATTATTTCTTAGTTAAATAATAAATAGGAGAGAAAAAAATTCTCGTGAGACCCATTTAAAAAATGTGAGTATAAAAGATAATACTTCTCTTATGCAACATAAGAAAAGTAATTCTCAAAATAATTTGCTATAGATTAGAATATCTATTTTTTTTAACATTTATCTTATCTATCACTCTCCAATTAATACTATTAGATCAGAATATTACGAGGAGAGAAAAATGATAAATGTTAATTAAAATTATGATATAACCTCCCAAGCACCGACACACTCTTTTTTTTCAAAATGTGTGTCGGACACGTGTTGGACACCGACACGTTCCGACACGCGTCCTACACGTGGTCAACATTTTGGGACACACGATTAACGCTTCGACACGCAGTCAATTTTTTATGACACGTATCCGACACGTTTTTTTTTACTTCTTAATTTTATTTTATTAACTAAAAATAAAAATAATAATTTATAAATCAATTTTTTTTATGTTATAAAATTTACATGAAAAATTAACAAAATACGAAAATTATTTTTGTTTATATTTATGTTATGAAATTTGAATATTTGATTGGTTATATGACTTATTATTTGATTGGTTATATGATTTATTATAGGCTGTTATATGTATTAAATATAAATTATATTATATATATTAAAAATATTATTTAATATCAAAACGTGTCCCAACGTGTCGAAATATGATATTTTTTAGAATTAATGTGTCGGTGTATCGTATCGTGTCGTGTCCCGTGTGAGTGTCGGTGCATCATAGGATATAACGATGTTGAAAAATAATAAAATAAGTATAAAAAAAATAACCGACCTCTTACTAGGATTATAAAGCTTTGGTTTTGCGGCAAGCGGGGGTCAATCACGTGAAGAATTGACCTATTATCCACGGATGGGATAAGCAGATAAAATTTGTCTGCCTCCGGTTTTAGTAGCACTCATTTTCATGCCATTTGGCTTCAGAGGTTCACTAATTCTTCAAAGATAAATAATAGGTGGGGTACTTAATCCATTACCACTTTCCCTATCCTATGTGGTCCAAACTTCCCAAATATATAAATCCTGAATTTTTAATAATAGTCCTTGCTTCTACAAAAACTTCTTGTCAAACCTTACGGAATTCATAAACATTGAGTTTACGTTAAGATGTCAACTTTCATGGCTCAAATGTCTGTTACGCTACACCAATTACCCACCAAAGTAAGCTTATGCGACTCATGCAATAATTCCATCATTTCCATAATTCCATTGAATGAGCGACTCGTTATAATCGGAGAAGTTTAACTGACTATCTAGTGCAAATACCTTTCAACAAGAAAATTTTAAATGGTTAAATTTTTTCACCAAGTGATCTATTCTACGCTTCTTACACTTTATAGAAAAATATAAAAAATCAATTCAATCTAAAAATTTAAGTTGTTGAGTATGATTACATTAATAATAATATATTTTTAACATGCTTTAAACCCGTAACATTGGAGTTTTGATATTATGAAAAAAAAACCAATTCAGTCCAAAATCTTAAGCTATTATATATCTCTAACATAAAATTCTTCTCTTTTCAACGATATTTTTTTTAGATAGATAAATCACACTTTACCTTCATCGTCAAGTTTTCCCTTCAAAACAACTTTAGTTATAACCATAACGTGCGGTTTAGTTGGGAACTACAAGATATTATGTAGGTGGACCTACCACACAGATTTTATGATCAAAAGTCGAGCTATCAAGATTAATTACATCTTGAGAGAAAAAAAATTAAAAATGTATGTTTTAAACCTTGTACACACAAATTGCAGTTGATTGGAACGAGATATTTTTTGTTTAAAAAAATATACACTTCTCAACAATTATTTGTTAAAGTGATAAGTACTGAATTCTTATGGATCCCACAGTACTTAATTAAAGTGATAGGTACATAATTATTGGTTAAAGTGATAAGTACTTAATTCTTAAACAGGATTAAACCGATTTGGATGCAATAATAAACTGTGTAATAACTTTCCATGCCTAAAATCATTTCATTGGCAGAAATTCAGTAACAAAGGACATATTTTTTTTAATGGCTCTCTCTCTCTCTCTCGGTGTTTTACAAGCAAAACTCATAGCATATTGCATTATTCTCTTTTCTACAGTTTGAGGCACAGAGCACACTATGTCATACTAGTATGTTTTACAAGACAATTGTCAATGCATCTTGGTAATTGGAAATTCCATACAAGTTAGGCAAAAAAAAAATTGTATAAATATTGAAGGATATATAATTTTGCTTTTGAAACTTGATGGGTATAAAATATCGGAATTAAAAGTTCGTGAACTATATACCAAAAAAAAAGTTCGTGAACTAATATTGATTTGGAAAAGAAATTTCTAGCATAACTTACCCCCTCCCCCCCTCCCTTTTTTTTCCGGTAAATATAACTTACCCCTTTTTACCCTAAAGTATTATTTTCAACAAAAACTATTTGACGGTGTTTTTTTCAATTACTTTGCAGAGGCATTAAGTGCTTCTCAAAAACATGGAAATGACTTATGGTGTGTGCTATATTTAAAGGGTGGTTAAGGAGTAATAAGACCGGTAACCATAAATTGGAAAAAATTGTTGAGGAATTCAAGTGTGATTGGGTGAACTTTCACATTAGTTAAGAATAAACTAAGAGAATATCATATAAATGAAAAGACTCATGTACCTAATGCTTTAAGATTTTGAATTTAATTGTAATATCCAAGCTCAATTAATGTCGTTGTCCACCTAGTCCATGGATGATGTTCTCCCCTCACCATAAGCTCCCTCTGCTAGGCTTGGAAAACCAAGGTTTTGATGAGTATAGCCAACTTTGATGAAAGAAGCTTCTCCTTGGGGGATAAGAATATGGGCTTAGAACTCATACTTGAGGGGAGAGATGTTAAGGAAGGGTGGGTGAAATCTCACATTGGTTAAAAATGAACTAAGTGAGCATCATATAATTGAAAGGACCATGCACCTAATGCATGTTTTGGGTTTGATTATTGTGTCTAAACTCACTTAATGTCATTGCTCACTAAACCCATGGATGACAGTCTCCCCTAGGGGTGTTCATCAATCGATTCAAACTGCGGTAACCGAACCGAAAAATCAAAAACTAAAAAAAAAAATAGCATATTTTAATTAGATCGATTTTCGGTTTAGTTGATGAAAGTTGATCCAACCCAAACCGATCCAATATATTATAAATTTATTATTTTTAAAAGATGGTGACTTAAAATCTTGTTATTTTGTAGAGTTTGAATCTTGTATGTTATTGATAGCAAACTATCTTGTTTTAGTTTTTTGTTTGTCTATTAATTTAATTTTAACTCTTCATGAGTTTTAAACTTGTTTTAGTTTGAATACTTGAACTTTTCAATAGTTTGTAACTTTAAATGGCTTCATTTTGATATAGCTAGTGATTTGTATTACTAAAATTTTAGGCTTTTCGAAAAACCGAAAACGATCCAATCCAACCCGAATAAAATTGGATTGGATTGGATCTGATTTAAAAAAAAAAAATCTAAACCGAATGAATGATTAAATAATCAAACCGAAAGAATTTAATCGGATAATTTTTACTTCAAAATCGATCTAATCCAAATCATAAACACCCTAACCTCCCCCCCATGAGCTCCCCGGACCACAAAAGTTACGAATTCAAATCCCTTTCCTTGCAAGTGTGTATTAGATAAGGTTATGATTACTTCTTTGATTTTCCAGTAGTCTCAACTTACCTATTGGCATCCATCTCTCTCTCAGTTGTGAAGAACATCAGGTAGCTGAGTACATCAGGTAGCTCGTATACAAAGCCAACGCAGCACTGAGTGAATGCTTTGGGCCTTTTATTTGATCCATTCAATCCTAACTATAAACTAGATCAATTTTATTATTCGGCCTACTTTATTCGAGGCACAAGGTTAGATGAGAGCTTATGCGTTCGTGTTACTTTTCATTACACTATTTAAAATAAAGTATTTTCTCACTAGTACAACAATTTTTTTCTCATTATAAATTGAGTATCACTAGCATGAAGTTCATGAGTTGTTAATTTAAGCTCTTACGAAGTAAATCCTTGACTCCCTTGTACTTTGTTTTTTGGCAGACTACTCGACTTGTTTTTTAGTTAATATATATTAGCATCTACGAATTTATTAAGCTATCAGCTTTTTTATTTTATTTTCCCCCAATCCAGATTCTCATTCACCTGCATATTTACTCTTTTTAGTGAGGAATTCAAATTAGAGTTGTGTATAATAAGATTTTTATATGCAATTGGGGAGTAGCATCCGTTTGAAACAAAAAGAACGATCATTTATAAAAAAAAAAAAAGTGTGTGTAAAATTTAAGGCTATTTTAACTCTCAAGCAAATTGAAGAAAAGTTTCCATTCAACATTTTAACTGTCTATGTACAATCTATTTCCTAGTTAGTTCATGCTTGAGTAGGTAATACTACCACAAGCAATTCTTACTTTATTAAGCAGAGATTCTTGGGGTTGCATTCCAGCTGCTTTCATCTGATACAGAAACTTGACAGCTTCAAAGTATAAACCATTCTGTATGTAACCCATAAGCATGGCATTCCAACAATCAACTTTTCTTTCATTCTGGGTCATCTCAAACATCTGTTTTGCATCTCTCAGTAACCCACTTCTTCCATACATGGCTATCAAACTACACTGCACATAATCATCCGAGACCAGCCCAAGTTTGACGGCATCAGCATGGACCTGTTCACCACATCGTTCATGATCCAGCATCTTTCCACATGCCTTGAGAACACTGGAAAACGTAAAGCTGTCCTTTTTTATCCCTTGCCTCCCCATCTCCTTGAAGTCACCAAGAACCTCAGAGAAATGTCTTTCCCTGCAATCACTGATCATTTTAGCAGTCCAAGTCAAGGTGTTATGTCGTGACACTTGATCAAAGACAACGTTTGCATCTTCCAAGCACTTCAATCTCCCATAAAAGCTGATCAAGGAGCTACTGAGAAGCACATGGTCATAAATTCCCAACTTTAATAACCATCCATGAACTTGCATTCCTAGGGAGATATTCACAGTGCAGGCACATGCCTTGAGAAGGCAAGCCCAGATCCATGGAGGAAAATCCAACATACCCAATTGGCCTAGCATGCTGACAAAAACACCTATGGCCTCCTCATAATCAGCAATATCATAATAAGCAACAAATAAGATTGCCCAAGAGTTGAAGTCCCTCACAGTCATTGAGTCAAACAGATTGCGTGCACTCTCCAACAGACCGCACGACACAAACATAATGAGAATCCGATTGAGCAATGGCAAGGGAGGTTTGATGCCACTGCGGGTGATGTGGGCATGCAACTCAATGGCAGTTTCTGGGTCCCCAGAAACAGTGCACTCTTTTATCAAAGAGGTATAGATGTCAATGGGTATGGGAAATGACAGAGAATTCATCAGGCGCAAGATGTCTAAGGTTGTAGCCCCTTTTCTTTTCTTCTTATTGTTATTGTTCTTCTTCCTCAAAATAGTAGTTAGAGGTGTAAGGGTTTGGAGGGGTTGTGAAGAAATGTGATAAGGTAAGTTGTGAAAGAGAGATAGATTGAGTTTAGGGTTGCGCTGTGGTAATCGAAGCTCAAGATGGTGGTTGGGAGAAGGACAAGTACTTGAGCTGCTGCTGATGTTGTTGTTGTTCTTTGCATCCAACTTGTCGTCGAAGAATACATAGGAGGGAGTGGTGGCTGTTGGCGTCGGAGCAACCATGAGTTCCATTCTTCAAGTTGACAGACAACCTAGGATTCACTAAACACGTTTTTCTCCTGTCAGCGCTATCTTTCCTTATTGGGTGACGCAATAGATTTAAAAAAAAAAATTATCACCGCAATAAATTATAAATATTTTGTTGCTCAAATTATTTTTATTAATTTTACAAATAATGAGAAAAATATTGCAGCTTTGAAACTCAAAATATAAGAACTCGTTCATCACATATCTATTATTTATTTATTTTTTTGATTGTTGGGTATTTTTGTTTGTAGCAAAATAAAAAATAAAAAAATCAAGCGTGATAAGGGACCAGTCGTGTCTCATTTTGAGTGCAATCGGTCACGCTCAAAACGAGGCACGTTTGAACCCAAAAATAAAAGTCATTTAATCAAGCCAATTTGGAGAGTAAAGTATCTTTATAATCTTATTTAAAAAATAAAAGTAGTTTAGTCAAGTCAATTTGAAGGACGATAATAATAAAATAATAACTAGAAATTAATTTCATATTTAAAAAATTATATGATAATAATTTTGAGTTATTATTATATACGAATAAATAAATTTAAGTACAAAAATATTTTCTTAGTAAAAGAAAAATACAAACAAAAATATAGTTTAAATAATTACATATGGCTTCCACCTAAATCTTGGACAATGAGCTTGTGGAAAATAAATTATAGTAGGCTAAGCTGACCCTATATAGACTGAGGACCAGAGTGACAGATTTCATAGAGAAGATTAGGGAAGAGTGACCATTTTGTTACGTTTGACAAAAAAATTTACCAGATTGTCATGTTAACAGTAAATTTTGTCAAAATGTCACGCGGTATATTTCGCTACATTGTGTAGCGAAATAAGTTTGCAAGTAATTTGTTACACAGTGTAGCGAAATATGCCATGTCAGTATGCATAGTCAGCAAAAAAATGACACGTGTCAAGTAAGCTGAAATTCGCTACACTGTGTAGCGAATTATGCTTGAATTTTGTCTGCTTGACATTTGTCATTTTTGCTAACTGTGCAGCCTGACATGGCATATTTCGCTACACTGAGTAGCGAACGCGTGTCATTTTGGCAAAATTTACTGTTGGCGTGGTAGTTTAGTAAAAAAAATTGTCAAACGTGACAAAATGGTCACTGTTCCAGCTATTGACCCAAGTGCCACTATTTTGATAAAATGTACATGTATGCCACACAGAAGAAATATTATTTCAAAGTGCCACATCACAAAAGTTGTTGTGTACTACAGCTATTATGGACCGGCTACGTGGCACGTCAATTGAGGTCACAAAAGTCACCAAATTGACTAGCGACTAAAGTAGTTAATATTGCAAACTTTTTCTGCATTCTTTTCTGACATGTGATAGATAGAGGATTAAAATAGCTGGACAGTGTAAAGACTATAGTGCAATGTGCCAGACCAGTCTACAGCTGCTATATTTGCAACGTGTACTTTTCTGACATGTTACATTATAGTCTCTACATTGTCCAACTACTTTAGTTCAATATAAACCCCCAGTTGCCCCCATTCCATTCATCTGTAGGTGGCAACATACAAATCTTACTATGTTACTACTAAATTTTAATAAATTTGATTGATATAATTCTTTTATGTGTGGATCAACCTCAAATTTAACATGTTACTAAATAATATGGACTGGTCACGTGGAACGTCAATTGTGGCCACAAAAATCGCCTCATTGACCAACAACTAAAGTAGTCAATGTTGCAATCTTTTTTTGCATGCTTTTTTGACACGTGGTAGATAGAGGATTAAAGTAGTTGGACAGTGTAGAGACCATAGTGCAACGTGTCAGACCCGTTCACAGCCGCTGTACTATGCAGCATGTACTGTTCTAATATGTTACACTATAGTCTCTACATTATCCAACTACTTTGGCTCAATATAAACCTCTTGTTTCTCCATTCCACTCATCTGTGGGTGGCAACATACAAATCTTAATAAGTTACTAATAAATTTGATTGATATAATTCTTTTATATATAGATCAACCTTAAATTTAACATGTTACTAATTATGAAAAGTATAATTTAATAACGGATTTCACTCTATCTCTTTAGTTGATAATCCTCCCTACTACAACTTAAAAATAGTTTTAACGATATATTGTAAAATAACATTTATCATTTATGACGAATTCATCATGATGAGTTTAGTAGCGTTAATTTTTCCAATAGATAATTTAATCAAGCCAATTTAGAGAGTAAAATATATTTGTAATCTTATTTTAAAAATAAAGTAGTTTAGTCAAGTCAATTTGGAGGGACGATAATAATAAAATAATTATTTGGAATTAATTTCATATTTAAAAAACTATATGAAAACTATTTAACAAAATGTAAAACATTGCTCATTTGATTTTATCTATATAGAAATGTAATTTTCATTTATTATTATATACGAATAAATAAATCTAAGTACATAAGTATTTTCTTAGTAAATGAAAAATACAAACAAAAAGATAGTTTAAATAATTAAGTGTGGCTTCCACCCAAATCGTGGTCAATGCGCTCGTGGAGAATAAATTATAGTAGGCTAGGTTGACTCTGTATTCTTGAGGATCAGAGTGGCATATTCTATATTGAAAACTATATATATATATATATATATATATATATATATATATATATATATATATAGAGGTAAGATCATTTGACACCGGTGTCAAATTTGAAGTTTGACACCTTATCTTAGAGCCGTTAGATCGAAAAAGACCAACGACTCTGATTTGTAAGCATGTGACACCATTGATCTCTTTGAATCCAACGGTTCTCAGATGAGGTGTCAAATTTAAAATTTGACACCGGTGTCAAAGGATCCTACCTCATATATATATATATATATATGGAAAAATATTTCTACAGCCACTCTAGATAAGGTTGTTTACAACTACTCCTTTTTTACTAAGTACGACTGGTCGTACTTAGTGATAACAATAAAGTTGTTTTTTTTTTCTCTTTCCTCATACATTGTCGGCTGACGTGGCGGAGAGAGAAAATACAATTTTAATATATGACCGGTCGTACTTAATGAAAAAAGGATAGCGGGAGAAAAATTTATCTAAAGTGACTGCAGAAATATTTTATATATATATATATATATATATATATATATATAAATATAAGTAAGGTGGCATTGACCTAAGTGCCATGTTTTCTGATAAAGCGTACCTATTTTTTTTCATATATATAAATATATATATATATATAGAAGTAAGGTGGCATTGACCTAAGGGGGCGTTTGGTTGAGGAATTTTTTTTTGAATACTAGGAAAATGTAATTGATAGGGAAATGATTGAAAAGTGAATTTGATAGGAAAATATAAAAAAAGTTGTTTGGTTGGAAAAAATTTAACCAGGCAAATTATGTAAGATTTATAAAATCTATGTTTGGTTTGAAGTAAAATATAGACGGGGAAATAAGTTACAATTACAAAAATGTACATATTTTTAAAATAACTATAAATTATGAAAATGTCCCTCTTCTTACCGCTGAATAGTAGCATCCTTGTGTCTTGTTTGCCATTTTTTTTTAATTCCTGTTGTTATAAAAAAATAAAAAATAGAGGACCAGGCCTCGGAGGGGGCAGAGAGCACAGCTCTCAAAGGAGGCTTTAGAAGTAGATATTATAATGTGTATGATTTGATTAAAATATTTTAAGTAGGATCCATTTGCATAAAGCCCAACCTTTTATCCCCTCAGCCATTTGCATAAGCTCCAACTGCACAATCGAATCTGAAGCACGATAATATCATAGCATCTCTCATACAAGTTGTCAGAGGGTATAATGGTCTGATTTGTTACCCAACTATCTATATAAAACCACCTCTCACAATGCTTTCTAAACAGTGCCAAAGTCTAGCATTCTTTCACAAAATTGAAAATGCTATGCATTATGGTTGCCTAGGAAATCAGCCATTTCTCTCTATACCAAACAAGTGCAAATCAGATTGCCAACTTCATTTGCATGGGATAATCTGAAAAAGCTCTCAACCAAACACCACCTAAGTGCCATGTTTTCTGATAAAGCGTACCTATATGTCATGCAAAAAAAAATATTTTTCTAAAGAATCACGACACCAAAATCGTTGTGTATTGTACAACTATAGACTGGCCACTTGACACGTCAATTGAGGCCATAAAAGTTGCCTCATTAACCAGCGACTAAGGGTGTGTTTGATTCCAATTCTCAAAAACAGTTTTTAAGATTTTAAAACAAAAAAAAACAAAAAAGTCTGTTTGGAAATGATTCTTTTACAAAATACTTCCCAAAACAATGATTCTTTTTCAGTTTTAAAAACCAAAAAACGAAAACAACCTGGCGATGTTCTCCCGTGGTGTTTTTGCTTTTTTTTGTTTAGGCGGTGACAATTTTGTAAATTTCAAGATTCATTAATGGCAATTTTGTAAATTCAGGAGCAAAAACAATTACTTTATAGTGACATTTTTGTAATTCTAAAACTTCATTAATGGCATTTTTGTAAATAATTACAATTTTTTTATAACTTTAATTTAACTACATTCAAACAAGTTTTTTTATTTTTTTACTCTCAAAATCAGTTTTTAAAATTCATATTCAAAACAGTTTTTGAAAACAAAAAAACTAAAACACTTTCAAACACACCCTAAAGCAGTCATAACCTTTTTTTTGCATGCTTTTCTGACACATGGCAAATAGAGTATTAAAATAGATGAACAATGTAGAAACTATAGGGAACAGTGACCAAAATGTCACTGTTTATCAATTTTTTTACTTAAATGCCCCGCGAACAATGTTATTTTCCAATCTGCCACGGCGACAAGTTCGCTACCCGGTGTAGCGAACTCGGTTTGCTGACGTGTCACGTTTCTAGTGGACACCAACTTAATTTTAACCAAGTTTGCCTACATGGTAGGCGACCTTCATTTTTTTTATTATTATTATTTTTTTAAATTTGATACTTGTTATCCATTAAAAATGTGACACGTCAACAAACCGAGTTCGTTAAACAGGGTAGCGAACTTGCCCCCGTGGCATATTGAAAAGTAACACTGTTCGCGTGACATTTAGGTAAAAAAGTTGGTGAACAGTGACATTTTGGTCAGTGTTCCAAACTATAGTGCAATGTGTCTGACCAATCCATATTCATTGTACTATATAACGTGTATTTTTTTTACTAACAAATCTTAACCGTTGATTTTTGTCAATTTAACGATTATAATTTATTAAAAATTAAAAATTAATTAATAAGTATGACCTAATAAGTTACAACCATTAGATTGACGAAAATCAACGGTTAAAATTTAATAATAAGAGATGGATTTTGACCATTTTGCCCCTAATTAAATAAAAAATAACCATTTTACCCTCATCTGAGAACTATACACTCATTTGTCCCTTTAATCGATTAAATAAAATAGTTAATCAATTAAATGTTGGAAATTTATTTTAATCGATTACCTAATCGATTAACTGGTTGCAGGTATTGCAGCAGCAAAGCAAAAGGTAATCCCAAAATGATTAACAACAATAAAAACATTGCATAACATGGATCAGTGTTCCTAATATTTCCACTTAGTGAATCATCATCAATTCATCATCATAATTAACATCAATCTATACAGCTTGTTGAATATTTCCCATTAGAAAAGTTTTCAGAAGCCACAATTGTTAGCAAAAGAATGAACTCGTACATGCGGAAGTGGTTGGAGGAATGAGGATAGTCGGAATCTTCGTTGGAGTCCACCGGTTGTTATGGGGGAGATATCTATGCATGAGGGTATCATCGGAAAACATGTCGCCACCAATGAAGAGCTTCCTTGGTGGAATGTCAATGTCTCTTAGTGATTTCTTATTCGAGAGGAGTTGGTGGGTGTGTTGAAACTTGTGATTACGTTGTTCTACATAGACATTGCTCATTTTTGATAATCTTAATCGGAGATTCTCACTATTTATTTATGAAAGAATGAGTAATGACAAGGGGAGAATGAAGATTGGGTAGAGAAAAACAACACAGGTGAGCTATATAAGATGGTTTAGGATCATTGGGATTAATCGATTACGTAATTGATTAAAATAAATTTTTTACACTTAATCGATTAGATATATTATGTAATCAATTAAGTGGGGGCAGATGAGTATATAGTTTTGAGACGGAGATAAAGTGATTATTTTTTATTTTATTAGGATAAAAAGGTCAAAAAAATCAATAAGAAATAGTAAGAAAAAAAAAAAAGTATAACCTTCACCTTTTTTCTTACTGTTGAGGTTCTGTATTTCAAAGCCACGAGACCGAATTTTCTCGGAGGCATACACAAGATAGCGGAAACAAGTACAAATGGATAAAAAAGTGAGTTGGCACAAATTATGTACAATAATAATGGGTAATTACATAAAAACAAATATTATCTCCTACACTCACATTTTTTAAATGAGCCCACAAGAATTTTTTCTCTCTTATCTCCAACTCTTTTCTCTCTTCTATTTATTATTTGGATAGGAAATAATATTTTTCCAACATAAGAAAAATATTATCCAATAATAATTTGAGAAAAGTGAAAAACAATTAGAAGAATCCAATGTAAAAAAAGAAGCTGGAAAAGTAAATGATGAATAGGAAAATTGATATCATATGATATAAATGAAGGATAAAAACAAAATTGTGTTGGCACTTGGCCGCTTGTTCTGGGAAAGAATGTTTCGCCCACACGGTTTCCATAAATAGTTTGCTCAAGTAGCAACTTTTGGTCTTGAGCATTTGCTTGAATCCCCCACATTGCCAAAGAGCATCGCTGACAAATGAAGAATTCATCTAGTATCCTAAGCTAACAACTGATAAATATTAAACAACTCATGACAAGATTGTACACGTAATTATTCGACAGTTCTATAAAATAACTCATGGGTAGCATAACAATTCATAATTGAATGGAGGTTGGGGCAGTATATGCCATTGCTATTCCTACAACTTTCCACACAGAATTTGCATCAAATTTGCCTTGGATCTAAAATTCTGCTCAAGTCCCCTCTTTCAAGCTCAAGTCTTATCCACACAAGTGTGTGCATCAATGGCTAGCCTTTTAATAGACCTCATACTTGAGTCGGTAAGACCTGAGCTTGAAAGACAGGACTTGAGCAGAATTTTAAATCCAAAGCTCCAAGGCAAATTTGACCCAAATTCTGCATTGAAAGTTGTAAGAATAATAATGGAATGCACCGCATCAACCTCCCATCAAAAACCTGCAATTATTCAATGTGAGTTGTTATGCTACACATAAGTAATCTTATATGGCTATCAAATGATTCAAATGGTTTTGGGGTACAACCTCGTCTTATTTTATGTCATATGAGTTGTTTAATATTTATTGATTGTTAGTTTTATTAAAATCAGGACCTGAATCAATCTCGTCAGACAATTTCTCATTCATCATTGGCCTCGGAGTGAGTCGGTAATGAATAGATTGTAAGAAGTTGAAATAAGCATACTTAATGTCAAACTGCATATCGTACCCTGCATAAAATATTAACTTGCATGAAAATTTCTGATTAACATTGATTATGGACTTTAAAAGAGAAGGGTTGGTCCTTACAATAGTTTACTGCAATAGTTAATCCTCCATCATCCGTACTCTGTCTAACATGATGAAACCACATACTTGGCCTGCAATAATTCCATCCTGTCAGCCTGGGCATTACTCAAGAATAAGATGAGATAGAATTTGAGCACTTGGATAATTCCCAGTTCCAGTACTCTTCTTTCAAGTAACAGTCCGGTACTCTTTTATACAACCAAATAAAGCAAACACCAAAGTTCTCAAACCAGGTTACCAAAATATTCCCATTAAACTGGATTAAACCCATTAAACTCAGTATCAAAACCAGTAGTAATATTTGATATGTATTATTGTGGTCATGAACCGTCATAGCTCCTCAGCTAACGAAATTAACTCATTTCAGTAAGTTAATGTATTGGCAACTGATTTCATAAAAACATAGGTAATCTATAAACCATGGAGTGCAGGAACTGTGGCGAAGTCCATAAGAGACCTTCAGTTTGATTCCTGTCTCAACAATTATAAAGCTAACAGAAATCAGAAATTTCTATAGAATTTTTCTTAAGTGGTGATTAGTAAGCATGCCAAAGATTTTCAAGTTTATTCCAATAAACTAGTAAAACTGCTCATATGAATCATCACATTCACATCCAATAAGTTCAATAGCATCTGAGAAAACTGATTAGCAGAAAGAAGTTAATGCATGAATGACTAGGAACCTAACATGGATTTATGTTATTTTAAAAGAGTAATAACATCATACTGACATCCTAAAATTTAGACCGAGATTCTAAATTAATGGATGAAAGATCCCACGTCTCATGGGCTTGACATATTGTTTCACAAATAAATCTAAATTCTTTTTCAAATAACTTCTCGTTTAGCAGCTGGGCTTTGCAATATTCATCGATCAAAATATTCAAAATAAAATAGAAGTTCCAGGGAAATTCGTAGTAGAATTTATGCAATAGATAAGCTTTTTTTAGAGTATCCCTACTGATATTTATATTAGTTCTAAGTGACAAATTTATTCATAAGGAAAGACAAGTTGCTTAAACATGAATTGATTGACAAGTTATGGTACCACAAATTGGTTTGAATTTGCTTCAGAATAGCATCAAAACTGGTGGTGCACCGTGCAATGGTGCATTTTCTTCCCAGTAAATAACGCAAAACCAGTGCTTAAGGATCAGTTGATACAATGGCAATATACACAGTAAAACAAGCAAAACACTTGGAAATAAAGAGTATATGATAAGGATATCCAACAGAAGAAAGAAAAAGATAAGATTAAAACCCAAATACATGGAGCAATGGAAGGCAAGGGTAATCTTACAGGTAGAGAATCTCGCCAGCCTTCACAGTACACTCAAACGGGGGAGGACCATTGAAGTACAAGGGAAACTTGGACATCTCATCATCCATGGTCTCAGGAGAAGGATAAGGGTCCACACTGCACCAAGGCACATACCTAGTTGGCTTCTCAAGTTCCAAATCAAACTCTCCAGTATCCTACAAACCAACAACACCCCAAATGAAACCAACTCCAAAAGGTGTTACCTTTAGCACCAAAACACACACCCCATCAACAACAACAACAAAACTAAAAATAAAAAAATCATGGGTGGAAAAGAAAATAGTAAAAATACCAAAGAATATGTATAAGTGGCAGCAGGGTAATGACGAATGTACAAGCGATGAACATCAGTGGGTGGCAAAAGGAGGAAGTGCTTCTCGCCAGTGACAACAGCGTAGAGATTCTCATAGTGATCCTTGTGGAATGAGGTTTGAGAGTGTTGGTTACCAATCCAAAGGTTCACAGCTTCAGGCATTGAGCCAAGAGCTTCAGTGGCCCAAGAAATGTGAGGATCACAATCAGCGGCAAGAGAAGAGTACTCGGAACGAAAGCAATCGTTTTGGTGCTGCGCGTAAGCCACCAACTGCGGTGGCTGCGAAGACGAGATGAGGCGGAGAGCGTCGGGGAAAAGCATGCGCTGCACGTGAGCGGAGGCGAAGCAGAGAGAGGAGGAGGAGGAGGAGGAAGGGAGAGGGGAGAGGGCGTCGGCGTGTCCGGTTGGGGTGAGGTGGACGGAGACGGTGGCGGAGGAGAGTTTTCCGGCGAGGTAGGAGTGGTGGGGCCATGAAGAGAGTGCGGGCCAGTGGTTGATGGTGTTGGAGATGATGAAGGGTTTGTTTGGGTTGATGAAGTCTCTGAGGAACTCAAGAGGGGTTGGTGGAGTTTCTAGTCTTTCTATTTTCCTACTGTTTCCTAAGCTAAGTTCCCTCACTTCCCTCCACAGTGTCTCTATCTCATCCTTCATTTTCTCTTTTCAAAGTGCCAGTTTTTCTGGTGTGTGTGTGTGTGTCTTTGTGAGGAACAGCTTTCTGGGGTTTATATATTCGGTTCTTGATGATATAGCTTTATATTTATGATCACATGTAATGAAATGTAATGAATAGTCATGTAAAGTCCGAATTTATGATCACATTGAATAAATTGATAATTGTGTTTGCACCTTCCTTTTCAATTGGCAAGACAGCATTCCGAGAGTAGCAACTGTGTGTCTTTAAAGTCCACTGCATCATTCCTACTTTGATTGAGAAGGAAATCAAAATTTGGAAATTCTATTGAAAGCCATTGACAACAAAATTATACGAAATTATGACCATGTTCTTTTCATAAAATTTGAATCACTTCGCTCCATAATGCTTCAGTTTTGGTATTGAGAAATTATGAATACGTTCTTTTTTAAAATAACATTATGCAGTCTACCTTTTATAAGTTGTTGACTCACCGATTTATTTTTACAAAATTTATAGGTAATGGGGTGAAGACATTTGTATCAGTTGTGGCAAAAAGGCAATCTATAATGGTTAAGAAACATCAAATTTGTGTATGAAAGCGCACTTGTGTGAGATACTGTGCCAACTACATGTATTAGGTATTAATTTTGCTTACGAAAAGAGCAAAACACATTTTACTGCACATCTCAAACTATAAACAGTTTTCTGAACTATCCATGGGGTGCAATCTCCCGAGTAAAAGCCGTCACTTTTTCCCAATTATTTGATCGTTTCCGGGTCATTCCATTCATTGACATTGACAACAGGTAGGCAAGTTGGCACTTTAACTTGTGGTTTTTTTTCACACCATGTGGCTTCAACCATTTGTAGCTGTCTTCCCGCCATTAAACCCATTGAGTTGCATGCTTTGCTCAACAACAATGGCAGAGAACCAACCAATGTCCTCGATCTCCAAGACATCTTGATTCCACTTGCTTCCTCATGGAAAACAACGCAGCCATGCATGAAAACCACCAGCCATTCATTCACCATATCAGCTACTCACTGAGTATGCTGTGTTGCCTGGACGAATCCTATTAGGCAAAGGCCTTGCAATTAGCCCATCTGTGACCCAACCTACTGATTCTCCATCATTTCTAACATGGTTGAATTCCCTTTCCACATAATCCAGAGATATATGCAGCCTCCCACCAGGTTTGGAATCATTAAGGACTCCTCTTCCTTCAATTCCTGCCTTCTTCTCTAACCAATAAAGGTAATTGACCTGAAACAATGCTTTGAGCATATCTAGCTGTGAACAGTTTTCTTTAAGCACAACCTGAATCAGGAGGATGTGTTAGTTACAACCCATAAAACATAATAGCATATGTTTGCGGTTATAATTGCCTCTAATATTGAGATAAAAGTAAACTTGATGTACCAATTTCCTAATGCCTCGAAGAGGGAAAACCGTTTGACAAGAAAATAACATTTTCCAGCCTCTAGCTCTCAATCGAAGAGCAGCTCAGAAAGGAAAAGAAATGCTACTAAACAAAAATTAATTATGTAGCATTCTGCCTCCAAATCCACTAACAAAGTCATGCTTTCTTAAATCCCATTACATTTGGAACTCCCCATAAAGTAAGTTTGTTAACCATAACTCCACAATAGTTGGGACCAAAAATAAGGATAGCAGTTGGAAGTCCTTGAAAAATTGCTTTCTCATAAGGGAAGTTAATTTGTCCATTTAATTCTAAAATATTGCACTCATTTGTTCTCTAATTTAAAAAAGTATTCAATAACTCTTAAGCATATACATACACATCAAAACATAAATGTAAAAAGCACGTTATCCCCGCCCTACTTGTCAGACAATCAAGGAACTAGGGAGAGAAAAACAATCCAATGAAATTAAAAGTGAAGATGGTTGTCAACTTACACAGAATTTTCCCATGTGCTCAGACAAGATGTAGCCTTCTTTTTCGTAAAGCCTAAAGAGAGCAAGCACATCCTCCTTGCTGTTGACAATTTCACTGAGCTTGGATCCAAGCTGCAGACGGCCTTCAATTTCCGCTGCTGCATCCTTTGCTTCAGATGATAAAACAATTGATTGTGCCTATTACAAAAGTTAACAGGACATAATACATACAAATCAGATCGTGCAAAATATAATACAATCATTTCTTATACATGTCCAACCTTGTACTCAGCCTGATCAATTGATGTTAGCAGAGAACATATAATGTTATTTTAGACAGGGAAAGTCCCACTAATCTTCTATCTAATACTTCCTAGAATTACTCAGTATTTACAATGAGTGGTGAAGAGCACATAATATTATCATAGATAGGACAAGTCCCACATATCTTATGTCTAATACTTCCTGGATTCAATCCACATATACAAGAGCAATGAAGAAGGAATGACAGAAGACAGTGGTAAAAGTATAATGACCATATTAAACTTCTGAAAATTGCAAAAGTACCCTTCCCCTCGAGTTATCATATCAAGGGACAGATGGATATGTGTGACCTGATACTCCCCTTCATCAACTGAGTAGTATTATTAGAAGAGGCCAGAAAGAACCTTAATATAATGTATACCATTACCAAAATAAATAAATCAATCTAATTTTAGAATGCAGCAAATTTCTAATCTTATTTTAAAGGTTTAAATTTCATATAACTAATAACACAAGCAAGATTAACTCACTCTGTTTGCAAAAGTTGCATTTAACATGGGTACAGCAGGAAATAGTGGCTCCTCGTCATTGACCTCTTTAACTGGAGGCGCCTGGCCACTCAGTAGATATTCGCTGAAAACCAAACCTGTTAAAACAATCCATGAACAAGATGTATAAATTTCAACCTTTTAACAAACAAATCAACCCCTGGTAGCATTTCCAGGTTTCCAATACCTCCAACAATTGGTTGCAAAAACATTTCTAGAACTGCTGCATTATTGCAACCTACAAGTACTTAGATTCTATAATGAAATTAAATCTAGGTAGAATAGACAACATGGCAGAATATTTGATGTTTCATCAACAGTATAAACTAATTCTTTCCAACTTCCAAGAGTAATAGAACACAGCTCCCACATGATTGGGTGTGAATGATTGTGAGAGAGAGATCAGAAATTACTTGCACGATAAGGGTTTAAAGTTCGTATTTGAATGGACTGATATGACTTCAGATTGCAATACATGTGAACCCAAGTCACAACACCAAAAGAAGCAAGAACGAGAGGCGTGGATGAGCCCACACAGTTAGCCAGTCCAATACCAAGCATGATACCAATAAACCTGCTTGCCATTCCTTGGACTTCACCTTTAGCAATTACCTACAATTAACAATTATTTTCAGAAAGAAAACTATATATAATATATATAAGTGATTATTGTGCTGCAACATTATATCAATACACCTATTCATTCGTAGTGAAAAGGATATAATTTTCACCTCAGCAAAATTCCTTTGAGCAGCAAAACCAGCGTAGAAACAGCTCCTGGTAGAAGCCTGTGAAGACAAAATCAGCTTGAACTATCAATTGGGTGCTGATACCTAAATTGTTCAACATTCTCAACGCAAATAAATAAAGCATAGGAATAGAAATCAACTACTGTTGCTGGATAGGCATAAAAATATATTTTTACACACATTCACCCACCCCCAATCACACAGGAGTGTATGGTGTAGATTTCATTGTGTCGTTTAATGTGGGAACACTACAAGTTCAAATTAATTGAAGGGAAAGCAACACATGCAGATTGAAATATTTGAAAATATATGCAGATTTAGTGAAACAATTTTCATATTACTGGGAAACAGTTTAAGATCAATTCTGTAAACATGCAGATGAATGGGAATGAAATCCAAGAGACCAAGACTACTCAATGGTAAGCTAACAAGCCCTTTCTGCATATCATTATTATACTTAAACAGTTAATTTTGATATCCTTCGTATTTATTGAAATTACTGTTCTCACACACCTAAAAACCAAATCAAAACCACTCCCCATTTAACCTTGACCAAGGTGAGGGCAATCCTTATAAGTAGCCTTATTGGTCTCACACCTGAAAGGCTGAAATTGAATCATTATGTAAATTATGGCTTCTGCACTACACTCAACTGGTTTGACTGACACTATAAAAGCCAAATCCTTTAAAGGCATTGCAACATAGATGTTAGGTGTGTTTGTACATGTTGATACACTAAAAATTGCCATCACCTGAATCAATGCAGCCGCAGAACGCGATGCCCCAGCTACAGCACCAATAAGAACAAAAAAATGAGGGAAGGCAGGAGTACAAATCTCCAAACCAAAGGCAGCATTTTCAAGAAGATCAGCAAACAATCTCCACCCTTTTGGGTCGACATCAAAATGGCGACCAAAGTTGGACAACAAGATCTTGCTGAGGTATCCAATTCCATCCTTGAGTACCCAATTGATGGCAGCAGCAGTGGGAATAGCTCCTTTTCCCAATCCAACAGCAAAAAGCAAGGCTTGTGTTGCCAGCACCCCACTAACCTGGCTTGCAACACCTTGAACTCCTCTCCACAGGGAATACTTCAAGTAATCACTAGTTACACTATTGGGAAAACCTTCAGGGAGCATCAAGCGCACCAAGAGGTCCCTCAACTTGAACCATAGAAAGCTCGGAACTTGTGAAGCATTGAGGGATGATAATTCAGTAAAGAGGTCAGGTTGTGCGGAAACAAAAGCATCCTTGACATGATCAGGGATGAACCTAGTAAAGTTTCCACCTTTCACTACCCAAACTGTCTCATTCTCAATGGAAGAAGAAGACAAACTTTTCGCCTTTGCGAGTTTGGCCAGTAGGAGCTGGCAGAAGAAAAAGATAGCGGAAGAGCAGAGCAAGGAAAATAAAAGGGTGTGATGAGAACCTGAAGAAGAATCCGAATCCCCAGAGTCAAAGGGGTAACCCCAATCACCACCACCACCACCATTGTTGTTGTTGTTATTGTGGTTGTTGCCGCCGCCACTGGCTTCTGACAAGAGAGGAAGGACCCAAAGGCGAAAGGGGTGAGAAGGGGTTGTGTTGATTAGTTGTTTGGAGGGAAATGAGTAAAAATGGACGGTGGCGGCGGTGAAATGTAGGGGTGGCGGCGGCGGCGGCGAGTGGCGGCGGAGAAGTGGAAAAGAAGCGTAAAGGGAGGAGGGCATGCAAGTGCAGCCCATGATGCGTGTACCCGTGAAGCCACGTCGTTACGCCGGAACTGGAATCGAACGGCGAAAAAGTTCAGAACTTGGAAATCATCGCATCCAACCAATCATGTTCAAATTCGACGTTGAATCTATAAATTTCTTGAATATTTGGAAGGGAAGGGATAAATTTCTTAAATATTCAACTTAATTTCTATAAATTTATTCCAAAAGGTAAGGGAGAGACTAAAAAATTGTAATTGATTCAAAATATTTATGAAGTTCATGCGATATGTAACTATTTTAACTTCTTTAAAATTGTAATAGAGGAAAACAAGTCTTATGCAACAGGGTTAGCCTACTGGTGTGGGGTGTGTTAAGATTGTGTGTAGTGTAGGGTGTTGTGTTCAATTCCTTGTAACTTCCAAAAAAAAAAGGAAAACAAGTCTTATGCAATTTTCGGGAAAATGCATAATATCTTGACCCTAAAAATAATTACATTGTAATGCAAAAAATTAATTAAAAAAATTATTTTACGAATTTTTAACTATAAAATTAGAGACCGGTTTTTTATGCTTATAATTTTTATTATCAATTTTATTATGATCGGATCAAATTTAAATCCAACGTTTGCAATCTTTCACTCACCTCTTTTATTAATTGAATTGAAATGAAAATAATAGTAAAGAGATGATAAATATATTCAATCTCATGAAAAGTAATAATTGAACCCTAGTTTTTTTTTAGTAATTGCGAATGATCTAATCTAGGGTTTAGGGTTATTATAGTTTATTGGGTTTTTTGACCCTTATGCCCCTTAATTAATAATTAATTACCAAATTGCCCCTCATTCAAAACTATTTCGAAAATTTACCCTTCCCAACAAACATAACACCAATCTGCCCCTGTTTGACCGTTGACCACGAAGCCTACCCGGGTACACCATTACCTACCCGGGTAATTTTTGAAACTTTTTATCTACCCGAGTATGTAGGGGTGTACCCGGGTAGAGTTCTTGAATCTGGGAAAATGTTTGAATTATTTACCCGGGTACGTAGCAGTGTACCCGGGTAAATCGCGTCCAGAAACCCCAATATGTATGGGTTTCGGCCATTGTTGCGAGGTATAGGGTTTTTGAAACCCCAAATCTTTCTCTCTTACCCTCTCTAATCCGAAACATCACACATATTTCATCTCATCATTTCAGAAAGCTGAATCTTGGGGGGACATTGAGATTACATCTCCACACTCCCATTTTGTGCTAAAAAATCTGAACCAACCTCCAAACCCAAAACCTAGATCTAATTTTTGTGTGAAAGATGAGTTCAAGTCCAAACATGGTTCCTATAGTTGTTTACTACAATGGGAGGCATTTTGAAGGTCCGAACGGTGTCCGATTTGAAGGAAAAACAAAAACGATGAAAATCAAAGTGGGCACTACATGCAATGAACTGAAGGAGAGAATTCTTCAAAAAATGGGGTCAGAAGGCATACATTCCATCCACCGCATGATAGCCAGGTTAGAGACTGTAGTGGATATGGATACAATATACTACATTGGAAACGATATAAATGATGATGAAGATGTGGAGTTCGTAACAGATGCGTTTGTTGAATGGAAAGTATTAAAATATATTGAGATATATGTTGAAGTTGATGTTGGACAATCTTCATCTTTACCGGTGCATACAACCACTACTGCACACTGTACCGGTCAAGAAGATACAGTTGTACGATCTTCTGCACCTCCTCAGGTAGCATGGGATGAGGATGAAGAGGATGAAGACGAGGACTATGTGGACAGCGAAGAGGAGGGAGAACCTGAAAGTGCTATTCCAGAAGGTGATTCGTCAGACACTGATGTGGACGGTAATTTTGAGGCTGACATGAGCGCCGTAAGTCTCGGTACCCCAGCCTTGTCACCACTTCATGTCGACCCAGTCAGGTAAGTTATTAAATTTGAATATTTGCTTTAGACAATTTATTATTTGTGGTAAGTTATTAAATTTGACATGATCTTTAGATGCAGGGTCTGAGGAGCCATTCTGGAATGAAAGCCAACATTATTCATTCATTAACTGGGCGCACCCTAATGACGAGTTGGAGATCCTATATGGCGATGATGACTTGCACGGAGGTTGGAAGTTAGGAGATCCGTTATTTGTGCAACAAGAATTTGGGTCCAAACCAGAATTGCAACATGCTGTGAAGATACATTGTATGAAGGGGCGCAGGACAGCCATAGTTGAAACCCTTGTGTCCAACCGCCATGCTGTGAAGATACATTGTCATCATCCTCCTCCTCCTCCTCCTCCTCCTGAGTATGGGCACCCTCGCCAATTAAACCCTCCAAGCGTGAAACCCTTGTGTCCAACCGTGCAACCCTTGTGTCCATCTGGTTTCGCCACTTGCTCGTGCTCTGTCTATATCCTCTAAAGTCAGTAGTCAGATCATATAAGGATGCCATGACATGATCAAGTGTCCATCCACCCTCAGGAGGAGCTGGTGGTCGCCGACTGCGGGTGGGACGTGTCGGTCTGACATCAACCTCAGCAACGCCATCATCATCGTCATCATCATCAAGGCCTACATCATAAACCATGAAAAACAAACTTCAATACCACATTAAAAATTAAACAACACAAAATTGCATAAACTCATAAAGACCAACACATCACCTGCAGGTGCATCCTCCATCTCAGCATCGTGGTGGAATGGGATCTCAGGTGGTTCTGGTGCCTTCTTCCACGTCCAGATACCCGCTCTGTTCGGTAGGATCCCACACTGCTTCAGGAGCCTCTCACCAAATATAGCATTCCAGCCTCTGGCGGTCTTCAAGGTCTCTGTTGCCATAGGCACTCCAAATCTATGCAGAATCTTCTGCACCAGAAATGCAAAAGGCAATTCAGCCTTCTTTGACTTGGCTGCCTTCCACATCAGTATGCATATGTAATGCCTCCAGTTCACCTGCTGACTGTGAAGGAGGGCCCACAGGATGACAAAGTCCCCTTCCAGCACCTTTGAGTGATTATGCGGGCGCTGGAAAATAATATGTGTCACCACATAATGAAGAATGCGAGCAGAAACTGACAAGTTGCTAACAGGATAATGAGCAAAATGACCGGGCTCAGCGTCTGCCCTCCTAGTCTCTGTAACAATGGTCTCCCGGTTATAATCACCAAATATATGATGGCTGTCTCCATCATATAGTGCTGCTCCTGTGACACCATCAAAATCGAACCCCAGTAGCTCCGTCCAGATAGGAGCAGTCATGATGATATCAATCCCGCAGACACGGGAAGTCAGCTCGCCTTGCGAGTAGCCAAGGTTCTGGTAGAAGGCTCTTACCATAACCTCCGAGTATGGGCACCGCATCTCCGCCAGGTGAAGTAAATGTGTCTGCTCAAGAAGCGGCACGATGTCAAAACGCTCTAGGTTGAAGAATGCCGAATCCAGTGATTTCGGTTCGCAGATCTTCCGGGTCATGAAAAACTTCACGAACTTCTCGTGTGAAGGAATGTCATCCTCAAACAAATATCCTAACGTCAAGTCCGGAGCCTGACTCGAAGCAGCCTGGGGCTGATAGGATGACGACCCATCGCGACGACTCTTGGTTCTTCTCTCGGAATGGGTCACTGGCAGCTTTGAAACGCGTCGAGAGGTCATTGTGTCACACTATTAAACTGAAAAAATAACCAAAATCAGAAATTAGATACATGTTAGGGTTAGGGTTAGGGTTAGGGTTAGGGTTAGGGTTAGGGTTAGGGTTAGGGTTAGGGTTAGGGTTAGATTCAGGGTTAGGGTTAGGGTTAGACAAATTGATAAAATAATTCGGACAGAATCAAATGATATAAACGAAAATACAATGAATCAGAACAGAAATCATAACATAATTGAAAAAACTGAAAAAAAAATTCACCTTTGATCGATTTCAATCGGTAGAAGGCAGAGAGGTTGCAAGGTCCGCGAATGATGATCACAAACAAGACGAATTAGTGCAAGATTCTGCCTGAAATCGCTCAAGATGACACTCCTCCAGCAGCTCTACTCGGGTACCCCTTTTGTGGGTTTTCGAAATGGGGCTGCTGGGGTATTTTAAAACCCTACCGTCGATGTTTACCCGGGTACACTGCTCCGTACCCGGGTAAATAATTCAAACATTTTCCCAGATTCAAGAACTCTACCTGGGTACACCCCTACATACTCGGGTAGATAAAAAGTTTCAAAATTTACCCGGGTAGGTAATGGTGTACCCGGGTAGGCTTCGCGGTCAACGGTCAAACAGGGGCAGATTGGTGTTATGTTTGTTGGGAAGGGTAAATTTTCGAAATAGTTTTGAATGAGGGGCAATTTGGTAATTAATTATTAATTAAGGGGCATAAGTGTCAAAAAGCCTAGTTTATTGTGATCGGATCAGCCCTTGAGATTCACGAACTGACGTTATTAGTTATTATATCCATAAATTAATATTTAAGGGATATTTGGTAGAGAAGTTTTGATTTTTTTTTTTTTGGAAATAAGAAGTTTTGATTTCTTGTATGGAAAAGTGCACATGGATTCAAAGAAAGTTGCGTTTGATAGGGGTTTTATAAATATTCGACTAGAATTCTAATTTGTACGGAAAAGTGATATTATGTGTAAAATTGAGAGCAAATTACCACTTAAAAATACCAAATAGAGGATGGTAATGGTATTGTGAATTTGTACGGAAAAGTTGCCTTTGCTTTTTTTTTCAATTTTTTTTTTCCAGCTTTATAAAGAGTTTAAAAAAAATTACTTTTTAGACAAATATTATTTTCGTAATTTCAATCCATTTTTCCAGCAGTATTATTTTTTCGATAATATTTCAGCCTGTCAAATAAATTTTTTTTTTTAACTTTTTCAATAAACTCACTTTCCTATCATATTTTCAATAATTATAATTTTCGGATAAAAAAAATTTCTCTTCTACCAAACGCATGTTTCGATTAACAAATTTAAATTTTGAAACATTGTTGTTGTCTGTTGAGAGTGGCACGTTTCTAAATGTAAACCAGCAATCAGCTACATTTAATTTTACCAAATCGCAATTTCTCAGTCTCCTAGTAAGCCATTACATAATATTGATGGCCCATACCTTCCCCTAATGGGCTTGATGAAGTACACCGCAAATTCGAGGAAATCTGTACTTTCATGGAGAAATTAAGCAATTTCGGTAGAAGTTTTCCGAAACCATAAGAT